AAAAAAAACAAAAACCCCACACATACCACACCAAAACCAAAAGTCCATCTTTGTTTTAAGTAGTTCTGTAGTGTAACTCTCATTTACCTGGACTAGAAGATGCTGACATTTTTGTTTACTAGAATCTTTATATAGTACAATATTTTAATAATGTGTGACCAGAGTTAAGGAAGAGATTGACAACGAGTCAATGAACTGATGAATATCTATCTCATAAGCATTTAATTTTAGCTACCCATCTAGTGTGCATTTTGCCTTTATACACACACATTCCAATGCTATTATCTTATGCTTAATTACTTGGGTCTCAGAGCACTTTGTAAAGGAATGAGCTATCATTATCAACATTTCATATACAAAGAAATTGAGGCATAGTGGTATAATTTGCTAGAAGTTATTGAACTCGTATCCAAGGTCAGTGGCAGGTGAAAAACAAAGCTCTTATCTCAAGTATCAGACGAGTCCTGTATTCAGTAGACCACACTGCCTCTCAAGATGTGGTAAATGCTTCCCAAGCACACAATCTTTAGTCATCTGCATCAGCCTGTGTAAAAGAATTTAAAATTCCACCTGCATTACAGCAAGCATTGCAGTGTAAAATTTAAATATATTGACACTTAATCTGTTAAACACTGGAATATTGTGTTCAGCTTTCTTCAAACGATTGATTAAGCCAAGACATCATGTCATTGTAAGATGACTCTCCCAACAAGTCTGCCCTGGTCATTCCTCACCTACTTTTAAACATCTTTTGAAAACACACAAAAAAAGTCTGTATTTACTCTTCCCCAATTACAGTAGCCTCTTGCAAGACCTTTCTAATGCTGGGGTTTATTTCAGTCATGAAGTTATAAAGCCTGTTCAGTTTTCACTCTGGCTTTTACTTTAAGTATTAAAACCAGCAGGAGGCACTTGGTAAAACCAGTGATAACTTGATGTTTGATGACAAAATGTTTAAGAGTCAAAACTAACCCCGCATTTTGCATTGAGCAACTTTATGTACACAAAGAGTAAATAAAGTTACCTTTATTTGTAGAATTTGGAATGCTTTCACTAGCTGCATGTCCAAGTACAAGTCCCAGGGCTGAACTAAACAAGCTAAATGAAATTCATTTACTTCCAAGCCCAGCTCAGGTGGCTAGCAGGCCTTGAACAAGATTACCAGGACAACTGGTGAATAACAATGCAACCAGCACTGCAGCAGATTTTATTCTTGGCACCAGATTTTACCATTTCTCTTTTTTCTTAGAAGTCTTCCCTCCCTTTCACTGGGCTCAAGAGAAATGGGAATCTCAACTTCCAAACAACTTAAGGAAAGAGAAAGAAATACAGCTTGCAAGTTTACATCGTAATTGATACGAGTCTATTATTACAAGACAAATTGAAGCAGACAATGGAAAGAGACAGCTCAATCTGTTACTGAATCCTTGTAATGGCTATATGAAGAGCTCGACCATTTCACTCCTAAATCTTTCTTCTAAGTTTTTATTGCTGCTTGTGTGGGTAAAATAATAAAAATATGAGTCAGGTGTACAAGAGATGCAGCAAGGCATTTCTAGTCACAATGACATGAAGTTTATTAGAGGAATCACAACCCTTTCAGCATCTAGCCAGAAATAATGTTGTGTTACAGGCTGCTAAAACACCACGTGATACCAAAAAGTCATTAGATGCGATCATGCCAATCATCAAAAATCATCTCTGCTGCAGATTGCTGTGATGCACTCGGCTGTCGTAAGCCATTCTCGACGATCTGTCACAAGCTTCCTGCAGGACAGACCAGCGCAAAGCACACCGCAACTTGATTTCCAGAAGGCTGACCTACTTACTAAATGGCAAATATAAACGCAACAGGAAAAGCCAGATTAGAAGATCCTCTAGACATGTTTTCCCATTTATTTTTTAAAGTAACTGATTTTAATAATATTTTTATAATAATTACTTCTCTATTGTCTGTGGACCATAGTGCCAGCAGGGAGAACATGAGAGCCACTGCACAAGTGAAAATTTAGAATTAGCTGTCAACACTGAATGACAGACACAGAAAGAAGTAAGCAAAGAGGTCAGAGAGGGGAGGATATAAAATGGGATACATGCAACAGTACTTGCACTCATTTGAGAAAAATTGTTATGAAATGCCTATGGTCCCTCCTCTGTCTGAGGATGGACACGAGGCCACAGACACCAAAAGCGACAGAAACCATGATGACGACCAGGGATGCCCAGCAGGCAGCTTTCTGCCAGTAGTTTGCTATCTCATACCCAGTAAGAGCCTGCCTTCCCCTGTGAAGCCTCCAAGAGGGCTTTCCGAACATTCCTGCCAAAAAGCAGTCGAGGGATGCAGTCTAGAGATACAAGGAAGCGTGCTTCTGTACCAAAGACAGTCCCCTTTGACATATCATAGTATATAATCTTTTCCACTAACATTTTATAGCACATTTTCCAAAAACGTAACCTTAGTTTTCCTGGCAGTCATCTGTTCCACCGAATCCTGAAAGCAAAAGATGCTGGTAGGAGAGATTCCTTTCCCTTTGGGTTAAGTGTTGGAAGCAAAAGAGTTTATTTTCCAGTAAGGTTGCACAGGCAAGTAGGGAAGAGGGGACAAACTAGGCTTAGTGATCATTTAAAACCACAGTATATTACCATTAAATAATCCAGTCGCATTAAATTCAGGCTACTTTAAAAGAGCAATATTCCAATACCAGCCAGAAAAACAAAGGCTACAGCTGCTGGTTCCACAGTACGTTTTCTTTAGGTTTGCTTGCAACAAATACGATACAGAACTCGCAAGCACCTGACTGAAGACACCCGCAATGGTTAAGAGGCCTTACACTCTAATTACCTTGCTTTTGTTAGGCAGGTGAATTGCCCATAACATTCCTTCTGAAAGAAGGTTTTTCCCATCAGAATTTAATTTATAAACTCACTCCTGCCAGGCTGCGATAGCAGCTACTGTATAAACCTGAAAATGATGACTACTGAAATTCCATTCAAACCGTAGGAATCAATAGAAAGCAGACAAACCACCAAGATAAAGTTCCACCCAACTGCAAAGAGCAAGAACTGCAGGATACCTCACATTGTTTTACAGTGTCTACAGTCACCAGCCTGTGAAATAGAGACCGCGCAATCTCATTTCGGTTTGAAAACCTGACCTGTGCTCTCCACATGCTGCACCCACATAATCTGCCTGTTGGAAATGCCTCGGTGCCGAAGGCATTTCCAGGCAACAGAAGGAGACTCAAAAGACTAGCGATGGCAGTTTAGAATTTGCTGAGACTTACACTGCATTCGGTAAAAGCTTTTTATATGGTCTCCTTAGAGATCCTGATTCTGCTCACCTTGAAGCAGCAGCTCTACTGTAAGTCAATAACAAAGCAACCTGCATCGGTGTCGCCCTGGTTCATGCCACGTTACACATATAAACGTGTTGTTTCTATGGGCAGTAAAGAAATGCACAATTACAGCATTTCCCTCCGAGTCTGCTTAACTGAGCTAACACTGTCCGAAGGCAGATTCAGCACGCTGGGGTCTGATGTCAGCAGAAGTGTCATCGTAAAGAGCTCCGCATTGTATTTAAAGGTTTGCTTGTAAATGAAAAATGTTATCTATGACCAGGCTTCAACAAAAAGAACCCTGCTGCAACGTTTGCCGACTTTTTGCATTTCCTACTTACCATGCCTGCTGCAACTCCAGCTGCTTCACCACCTTCACTGCAGGAGGCTGCACCCGTACAGACACAGCTGCTTTGGTGCAGTGAGGCCACACAAGACCCAGTCCATCACGTAAGCCTTGGTGCAGCCCAGAGATCAGAATATGACAGAGGCTGTGAAGCAAGCGTGATGCAAGCCATGTATCGAGTATAGAGCTTCGCTTTTCAGCTCTTAAAGGGATTGCTGTAAACAGTTGTTACGTTCCTTCTCACTTATACTTCATGATAGACAAGCCAGGTGAGGATGTGAACATATTAGAATTGAAAAGCGCAAAACCTAAATATTCAAAAAGTGCCTTTCTTTGAACAAAACACAATGCACTTCAGTTGAAAAAAAGAAATCATCATTTGTCTAATACAAAAGAAATCCTTTGTCCCAATCACAGCCTACTCTGAAGGAATGACTTCCCCCCCCCCCCCCCAATCACCACAACGACCTACCTCACTAACTC